AGGGATCTTTTAAGAAGAGGAAGAAGAAGAAAAAGGTAAAGAAACAAATTAAGAACAACAAATACACATCTATCAACAAGTGAATCTAAAAATCTAGTGAATAAATAATCTGATGAACAGAATAAACTGGTGAATATATAATAGAATTAAGGGCATAGAAAAGGAGTGGACTGACAATTCTTGGGGGGGAAGGAGTGTGGGGGTACGGGAAGAGACTGGACAAAAATCGTACATCTATGGATGAGGACAGTGGGTGGGGAGTGAGGGCGGAGGGTGGGGCAGGAACTGGGAGGAGGGGAGTTATGAGGGGAAAAAAGAGGAACAAATGTAATAATCTGAACAATAAAGATTTAATTTAAAAAAAATTTACATAAGACAAAAGAAAATATTTTGAAATGTTGACAGTGGTTAACCTTGGATAGTGGAGAGAAGTGGTTTCTTTTACCACATACTATTCTTTGTAAATTTCTACTAATGATCCCGTATTATTGTGATAATGAGAAAAAGTCTTCTAAAATAAACATTTAAGTAACTCTTAAAAAAAAAACAAACCATGTTTGAGACTGATGAAATGAGATTATGGATGTAAGAACGCAATATAATGTTTGGTGGAGGGAGTGGGGCGAAGAGAGGGAGGGAGAGATAAGTGAGGGAGTGAGGGAGGCATGTAGAGAAGAAATGAAAGGTGTGTGGAAGGAGGGAATGACAATCCTGAACCCGTGTAGGCTGTGCTCTGTAGGGGAACTTATCCGCCTCCTCTTCCCTTGGACTGCATTTTCTCTTTTCTTTCTGAAGATTCTTCTCAGTTGCAATTATTACTTGGTCCTGTTCCAGTTATAATAAATAGGTAGAGCTACTATTTATTCAGAGCTTAAGTGAATCAGATCCATTAGAGGTTTTATGCATGTTTTCATTTAATCCTACAACAACCCGAGGCAGGTTATTATCCTTGTATGCTTCTCCACGGCTGAGAGAGCCTAGGTAACTAGAGAAAGATGAAACATCTAGTAGTGGTAGAACCAACATTCAAACCTAGGCTTGTTTGACTTCATATCACGTTTTCCACAGCTCCGCGGCTCTGATGTGCACTTCGACTTTTCCTTGACAGTTTCTATGTTAGTAACACTCCATTCAGTTAGTTCATCTGGTTCCTCATTTCTTACCTATCCCTGCGACAGAACACTTAGTTTCATCTGCTAGCCAGATGTAGACATAGAATTTTTCTTACAGACACAGTCTCTCTTACTCAGGAAAAGTATCTTAATACAGGAACTAGAGCGTAGGCTTTGACATTGTGTGTGTCAGTATGGAATCCAGGTTCTGACGCTTTCTCTGTGACCTTGGGCAAATCATTTAGCTTGAGCCTCATCTTCCCCATCTGAAATCTAAGAATATTATTTCTCTGGAGAGCTGAGTGAGAATTAAAAGACAGAATTTAAGGGAAGTTTCTAGAATGGTATGTGACAATGGCAGGTGCAAAGTAAAGGGCAGCTTAAGAAACAAAAACAAACTCTTCATTTTACAGATAAGGGAAGCTGATTTGGAAATGTCTTGCTGGGAGAACAGATGTTTTACTTTCTCTATCCAATTTCCACGATTCTAGTATTCCATAGTGCAAGTTCACTGGAACTGCTAAAGCTATTCTGTTATATGAGGTCCTAAACAATGTCTATTCAGACAGAAAGATAATTTTTTTCCCTGAGTTACAGAGAAAAAGGTAATCTGCCTCAGTTCTAGAACTGCAAACAGGAATAATAATACCTTTACTATAGGGCTGTGAGGATCAAATGTAATAAGACATGTGAAAGTGTTTTAACAGATACAAAATGCTTTATAATTTTTTTGTGAATTTTAAAAACTGAATTTCTTGGGTTGGCATTGGTTAATAAAATGATATAGTTTTTAGGTATACAAATCTATAAGACATCATCTATATATTGTATTGTGTATTTACCACCCCAAGTCAAGTCTCCTCTTATTATTAAACTAGAGGCTGGTGCATGGAATTCGTGCATGGTAGGCCTGGCTGGCAATCAGGGCCAATTTGTGGGGAGACCGGCGGGGGAAGCGGGGCGGGGGACCCTGCTGGCACTCACCTTGGCTGGCCTGGGGCCTGTGGTCTCGGGGCAGCCCCCTGGTGGTCAGTGCATATCATGGCAACCAGTCATTCTGCCATTCGGTCAATTTGCTTATTAGGCTTTTATTATACTGGACATTTTCACGAAATGGCATAAACAAAATGTAAGTGAAATAGAATGATTAGAACATTGTAAGATATAATGAATTAAAAGGACTTTGGAAAATTGGAGAATAGATCAGACACAAGAGAATCTAACTCAAAAGAAATAAACATAGGACATTTAAAGAAGAGCAGCAAGTGAGTTGAAAATAATATGTTTACTAAAAATGCAAATAAAATTGAAGACTGCTTATTATATTTTTACACAACTGGAAAAGATGTAGACAGCAATTTTTTTAAAAAAATGCTAAGGACTGCATTTACTAAGATCAGGTTAAATTTATTATCAAGGGTGAGAACTGCTCTGTCGGAGTGGTGTTGGGATAGTGGCTGAAATAACACCAGGAGGCCTAGTCTTTGGTTTACCACCTAAACTGATTTCAGGTACTGATTATTTTTAAGATCACACTGGCAGTGAGAGCAGAAAGAACGAGCTTAATAAAGGGAAAGGGAACTCACACTCTTTATGTTTTTCCAAAATGATTTTTTTCTAGGAAAGCCACATTTTCTGCAACAGTACTCATAACATTCTAGACTGCAGGGGAAGCTCACCCTAATGAAGCAAAACTTACCGTGTCTTTTGAGTGCCAAGAGGAATACAAACCATACATTTCTAAAATATTTATTAAAATATATATATTTTCATAAGTTATTTACAAGAAAATTCGTTCAGATCTTTGAAACAAACAAGGTTACAAAAAATTTTAATGGAGAATAGTTGCATTTTAAGTATATTTCCTGGAGTAAAGAACTCATACTCTTTAGAAAAGACATAGGATACTTAATTACCTAGCTGTTAATAAAATATTCTTTATATAAATGGGTTATAATCTTTACCACAAAGACATCAAATCTGCATCTACTCATTCACCTTCTCCCTCAGAAAACACCCATTTGCTATAGCATTTCTCTATATGCAATAGCAGCCTCTGCTGGAGAAAGAAAAGAATGCTTGTATTACAAAAAATTAGCTCAAACCTATTTTGAACTGGAAGAATGCAGATCTGTTTCCCACTTAACCACCAATCTAAATTAAAATAATTTTCAAGGTCTTAAAGATGTGCGAGCCTTATCAAGTATATCTTTCCTGATTTTTGGATAAGTTGGATGTGCTTCAAGAACCTGTAAAAACAGAGAGCAAAGAATAAAAACAAGACAAAAAGCACAAGAACTTGTAATTATCCAGAACTGGAGAACTACAAAACTTACATGTAATGAACATTACAGTTGAGATTTCATTATATTAATACAGCAAATATAATAGCAATTTAAAAAATGATGTGATGAGATGTGACATGAAGATTCATTCATATTACTAGTAATTAGATGAAAACAGTAGTATATGAATACTGCATGTGGAAAATACAACAAATACAATTACTTCCTTAATAGGTCAGTTGCAGAAAACAACTATGTATCAATAAATTAAGATATTTTTAAAATTTAACTATTATACATAATATTTAATGAACCTTAGAGAATTATTTTTTTAAATATTTTTTATTGATTTCAGAGAGGAAGGGAGAGGGAGAGATAGCAACATCAATGATAAAAGAGAATCATTGATTGGCTGCTCCTGCACTCAACCTCTACCAGGGACCAAGCCTGCAAACCGGGCATGTGCCCTTGACCAGAATTGAACCCAGGACCCTTCAGTCCGCAGGCCAACACTTTATCCATTGAGCCAAAACAGCTAAAGAATTATTTTTAACCAGGAGTACACATCAGATTTACCTGGAGTGATTTTGAAACATACAAAATTCCAGAACTACTGAGTCTAGAAATAGGGAGATACTCATTAAAAAAGACCAAACTCCACAAATGATTCTAATGTATAACCTTATATTAATGTACAACCGGAAACTTAATGTGAAATACTGGTTTACAGAGAGATTCAGTAATCAACAGCAATCACTGAGGCCAAGTATTGACTCTAAGGATGCTGACATAGCATCTGGGATAAGGGACATTACGCAGCTCTTTTCTAAGGAGCTTTCCTGGGAGCTTCTAACAATGCTTAATGTAATGTTTTATGTGGAATATCAACAGGACAATGTTTATACAAAGAAACTGCAAATTCTAAAACTGCAACTTATTTGTCATTTCAGTATGGAATCACTTAATAGGGGATCAATCACAGAAATGTAATCAAATGACTTCTACATCACAGAAATATCTTTTATGTCTAACTTATAAGTCTGAATTCTCTATTAACCAGACTTAGACACAGTCACAGAATTTCTATTCAGAACAATAAAATGACCTGGAGAACCTATAACAACGCTCAAATATCTTCTAACTTAAGGACAATGTTTTATTTCACTTGCTTCTCATCTGGCCTCTGTCTTTAAAATAGAAATAAACATTGCATAATTTTTCTAAACTTTGAAAACTGGTAACTGTCCAATGTATTTGATAAGTCATTTAACTAAAATACTATACTCTCTACCGTATTCATATATAGCTTGAAGCTAATTAAAAGTAGGAAATTGTGCATCAAAAAAATTTTAAGAAATCTAAGTTTAAGTGTTACCTGGTGACATATGTCAATTGCATCCACATATCTTTTCGCTTTTAAGTAATTAAATGCCAGTTTGTACCCTGTTAAGACAAAAACAACAACCCATAATAATATAGTACTATTTATAGAGCACACTGCTAGTATTACTCCCTTTTTTGCCTCTTTATGTGCTTACTTATTAGAGAACCTAGAGGCTGGTGACTGCACTGAGACAGACGTGATGAGATACAGAAAGTGGAGTGATATGAAAGGAGAACAGGTAGGAAAGAAAATGAAGTTGGAAAAAGGACCGCAGTGAATACTTTTGGGTTAGGAGACTGTCATCCCACCAGTGTGATTCTGTCACTTACAGACTACAGTAAAAACTCATCCTAGGACAGTAAGTGATAACAGCAATTTAGTTATACAATATAGATTTACTCAGCACGAAAACACTAGGCAGACTGGTTCCTACAGTCATGAAGTTTACATCCTACGTGGAAAGACAGCACATTATTAAAACAATCATGTAAGTGAATGAATAATTTCAAAACTGAGATAGATGCTATGAAAGAAAGGTACAGGCCAAATGAGCTATAATGAGAAACCTGGTAGGGGAGAGGGTGGTGTCAGGTAACGTTTGAAATCTGAAGGAGGCATGAACTGAGCCAACAGAGTGTGAAGGGAGACCACTTTCAGGACGAGGGAACTGTGCGTGTAAAGAACACACAGGAACCAAAGGGACCTAGAGGACGTGGTGAGAGGGCAGAGCAGGTGGGAGAGTGGCCCAGAACAGAGTAGATTAGTCAGCAGATATCCCACATTATTGATGAGTAGCAATTATCACAATTACTGATACTGAAATGTCGTTTCAAATGGCGAAAATTTAGAAGAAAGTGTTATTTAAAAAAAACATTTTTTAAATTTTTACTTTTTAAATTTATTTTTACTGCTGAAAGTATTACAACTATCCCCCCTTTTTCACCATTGACCCCCTCCATCTTGCACCCGCCCCACCCCCAGGCCTATACCACCCTCCTCTGTGTCCATGCATTATGCATATATGCATATAAATTCTTTGGTTAATCTCTCTGCACCCACACATGCCTTTCCTCTGAGATTTATCAGCCTGCTCTCGGGCTCTAGTCAAAGTACCAAAATATAGTTTCTGAATTTCAAAATATGTTTGAAAAAAATAACTGGCTAATGTAGTCTCATATGAAAGTGCGCACACGCACACATGCAGGCACACACAGACCTGTCCTAGATGCACTCAGTAAGCTTCAGTGAGGTAAACTTGGTATCCTTACAAAGAAATTCTAAAATGGACTAATAAAGAGAGTTTGTGACATTCAAAATGGAAAGCAATTTAAGATGCCATGCCAAACACACTTCACATGGAAACTAGAGCCCAGACACCTAGATTTAACTTCTGACTTCCTGACTAGGTTTGAGGCCTTAGCCAAGTCATCTGAGCTGTCTATTTCAAGCTTCCTCATCTAAAAAATAGGGTAATAATTTTTCACTCTTAGGATAATTTTAAAAACAAAAAAGCTTTAAAAAATTTTAGAGGACCACAAAAATACTTGCAAAAATCTTTTTTTTTCTGTGAAAATATTAAATTAGAAGTACAAAGTTTTAATGTTGAAAGAAACTTGATAGGTTACCTTGTTAAAAATTTTTAGAAAAAAAACAAAGGACTAAAAATGGCACACACACACAAAAATGGAAGCTGCATTAAACCTGCTCAGCTTATAAGAATTCAACCTTCTATAATTAGGGGAAAACGGGAGAGAGAGGGAGGGAGAGAAAGGGGGAGAAAAGAAGGGAGGGAGGGTAACACAAATGACATGAACAGCCTAGTGACTGTCAGATAACTTGAGAATGGGTGTGAAGGAAAAACATAAATGTATTCTTCTCTAGTTGGATCTCACTTCTGGGTGCCCTTTCTGGTGGCAACACTGAAGCATGAATCCCATGGAAAGAATATGACCACATTAAGGATAGCCTGACAAATGGAAATGTGACCTGAATTATTAAGATGGCAGGCAGGTTGGAGGAGTTGGATGCAATGACAATGCTAAGGAAGAAACTGAAGAATTAATTGAGAGCCTCTGAAAAATGTTTACTCAAGAAGTCTAAAAAATACAAAGATGGCACAATGAAAGAACTAAGGACAAGTTTGAACCTTAGGAAATGATACTTAATAAATATTAGTAGCTAATAATTTATTGTGAATATAAAATTTATTCTTCAGAAGGGCTGGCAAAAGAAGTAAGCTCTTAATGTGTATTTTGTTCTTAAAAAAGGAAGTCTAATGCATTTAAATGATTATCTCTATATATAAAAGCCTAAGTGACCGAACAGCTGGTTGACCCATCGCTATGACACACACTGACCACCAGGAGGCAGACGCTCAACACAGGAGCTTCCCCTCGTGATCAGTGTGCTTCCATAGCCAACCTCCCATGGCCAGCCAACCCTCCTTTCCCCAGGATGGCCCTGATGGGCCCCGATAGCCGGTAGACCAACGGACCCCACACATGCATGAATTCATGTACAGGGCCACTAGTTTACAAATAAAACCCAGGTTTCCTGCAAAAACCTAGTGTCTAATTTGTTAAACTCACCTATTGCTGGATTTGTCTGATTGCCGTGTTTCCATGCCATCTCATAGTTTAAGGCAGCATCTGTATATGTTTGCTCTTTTTCCATTATGTAGCCCATATATTCATAAGCTTTGCAGCAAGACTAAAGAAAAATGGAAGTTGTATCAATAAACTAAGCTCCATACCACTAAGATTTTATGAGGTGCTTATGGCTATAGAGGTCACCCATATTAACTAATTTATATGGCACATAGAACAATGGTTTTCAGCGTCGTCTATACAATCAAATGATCTAAAGAATTTAATAAAAGATTCTGAGGCCAAGCCCCCACCTCAAACCTGGAATCAGAATTTTTGGGTGAGAAGAGGATTTGTATTTTATTCATATATATGGAAACATTTTATTGTGAATAATTTCAAGACACAAATATAGATATGACAGTGTAATGAACCCTATGAATCCACATCTTCAACAATGAACTCATAGCTAATACTGTTTCACCTCTATCCCCCATACCTGTCCTTCTGTATTATCAGATAAACACTCAGATATTGTCATTTCATCCATAAGTATTTTACTATGCTTCTTTAAAAATAAGAACTTTTCTTTAAACATAACCACGAACCACAACTTGTCACACCTAAATGTAACAACTTGAGATCACCAAGTGTCCAGTCACTATTGAAATATCAATGGCCTCAATATAATTTTTGTTAGGATGAGAATCAAAATAAGGTTTACTCATTGCCATCTGACATGACAGGATGGTCTAGTGCAGCTGTGGGCAAACTACAGCCCGCGGGCCGGATCCGGCCCGTTTGAAATGAATAAAACTATTGAAAAAAAAGACCGTACCCTTTTATGTAATGATGTTTACTTTGAATTTATATTAGTTCACACAAACACTCCATCCATGCTTTTGTTCCGGCCCTCCGGTCCAGTTTAAGAACCCATTGTGGCCCTCGAGTCAAAAAGTTTGCCCACCCCTGGCCTAGTGTCATTTTGTACATTTCCTGTCCTAGATTTGGATGATCTCCATTTTTAAATTACATAATTCAAGATTTCTGAGGTCTAGCTTCTGAATCTTATGCTTCCAATATTGACAAGCCTAACCAGCAGGGCTGAGCCTCTGCAGTAGCCATCACCTTCAATGATGCAATGTACTGCTGTCAGTGTTCTGGCAAACTGGAACTCTTGACATGAAATCAGCCATTTGATAGTTTTACTTTTTCAAAGCCTCTTAATCAGCACTCTCTTGTTTTTCAAGGCAATATAACTTAAAATTAGATGTATAAATTATAAGTTGATAAAGGCTTGATATTTTAGGTTTTTAAAGTTCCTAAGAGTAGTATCAGGTGATCTCTTTAAAAAACAAATGATCCATTTTGTAATCTAATTTGCTTGAAGAGAATAAAACATTGATTTTCTATTATTAAAGATTTGAAATAACTGATATGAACGTGTAAAGATAAATATCTCCAAGTTTCTAAGATGAGTACAAATATGTCTCAACAAATAATAAATTCTTAACTTTAAAAAATGTTTTATTGAATAAGACATCCTTTTTGTGTATGTGTGATTAAACACCAAAATGCACTGTTAAGTAAAAAGCCTTAAATTCTAAGGATTTTAAGATTTTCAATTTCATACCTAAAGATAAGGACTGCTCTGACCGGTTTGGCTCAGTAGATGGAGCGTCGGCCTGCGGACTGAAGGGTCCCAGGTTCGATTCCGGTCAAGGGCATGTACCTTGGTTGCAGGCACATCCCCAGTAGGTGGTGTGCAGGAGGCAGCTGATTGATGTTTCTCTCATTGATGTTTCTAACTCTCTATCCCTCTCCCTTCCTCTCTGTAAAAAATCAATAAAATATATTTTAAAAAATTAAAAAAAAACAAGGACTTATTAATCAAATTGTATTAAATGCTGAAAAGACTTTTCCCCACAAAGTATGTTATACACAGTGGATTCTGATTCTGTGGGAAGCCATGCAGCTGCAGCACAATCATCGAGTATTTCTTAACAGGAGGGATGGATGCCCGCAATTAATTAATTCTGCGATTTTCATCAGTTCTGAGATGGCATGGGCAATCACAGGCAAATACTTGACATTCCAATACACTTTCTATAAGTAGGGCATACTAAAGCTGAAAGTTAAAACTGTATAAATCTGTGTTTTTTATATTTATTTTCAAGGGCAAATGGTTTCTTTCTTATTATTAATGTTGGTTTCCTGATTGTGGTAAGAATAAACATTGAATTTTCAAAACACACACACAGGAATCCTTAGAAATGTACCAACACTCTGTAATAGCCCATTATAGAAGGCTTATACAATAAAGATTAACAATGATTGTTTTACCCCTCAATTGAATACCTTATTATGATGCAGGCATCGCTTTAACAGTTCTTCTGCCATGTCGTATTTGGCCGACTGAATATAAATATCAGCAAGTAGCAGCCAGCTCCTCTCAAAATCCTCAGCATCAACAGGATTCCAGTTCATTTTCGCAATCCGCTTCAGCTGGTTTCTGGCTCGTGGAGTCTGTTTCAGGATCATATAAGCTGTTGCCATTCCCAAAAGTGCTGGAATATGATCCTTCTGTAAGAAAACCAAACTTTAGACCCTCAGATACACAAACATAAGTAAATGCCCTATATTTAAAAGGAAAACACATGGAAAGTAGCAAGTGCCACATAATATGGATTCTATTTCTGGCTCCACACAGATAACTGTCGTAGGGTCATGAATTAACACATCAAGAAAGCTCACCCTACCATGTAGAAGTTGGGTGAGGTGCTGCTGGATTAAGATAATTCAATAAATTTGCAGATGCCACAACCACACAATCCCAGACAATTTGGGTGACTCAGTCTTTAATAGGATTGACTGGATGTTTTGGTTTTGCACAGATACAAAAAAATAAAATTCTATTTCAGTGGAATCCTGACTCAACATTTGCATTTTGACTCATTCATTCTTTCATCTGTAAAAAGGAATAACAATGATTTACCCGCAATGATAGTCCTTATCTATATTGACTTACTTTATTACCCCTTTTCTTTCCCTTCTCATTTTCATTTTATTCAACAACCTCTTCTCCCAAGAAAGTTCAATCAATGAAATGTTATAAATAAGACATGCAATTAGTCATGTGGAAATTATAGAAAATAAACTCATTTTAAAACATGCTTTTATAGAGTTTTGATATTTTGCATGAGTTCAAAAGGAAAAAAAACCAATGTAGTTAATCTGGCCCCCCATTCCTTATAATAGAATTTGCAGAATTTAGAAATTTCTTCTGTTTTGTGTGGTAAAATTCTACGTGATTGCTATTATAGTGAGATGTTAGTGTATAGTAGGTGATAAAATACAGATGCACTGAAAGACAGCAGGTTTAGGTAAGCCGTAAGAAACAGGACAGCAGAGTAGTAAAACGTTCAATGCCCAACATGACCATGGTTGGAAGCCAGAAATAACCTGGATTAAAGAAGGTGACTCATCAGAGCTTGATGAACACAGCTTTTTAAGAACATAAAATATCCCTGGCTCTAACTTTATGTCGAAACTTTCAATAAATTTCCAATATGTAACTTGTTCTCATTAAAGAGTGGCAAAAAGGTTTTATTTGAGTGTCAAATCCACCCAACTGGCAGTAAATTCTGAAGCTGTGTGTGGGATGTTATCAGTTACCAAGCCTCGTCCTCACCCTCACCCCATGTGGCGTAGAGGGGAAAGAAAATAGAGGCCGGCTATGAATTTGTCATCAGATCCTAGGACAGCTCACAAAGAGAAGGACCCTGTAAGAATGTCCAGATCTTTTCACATACTAAACATATCCCCCACTACACATTTAAAAATAAACCCTCTGATTTTAAAATCACACACCAAGTTTGATTAGAATGAATAAATTCCTCACAGCTTGATCACGGCTGAGTGAACCCAATAATAGTTTCTAAAACTGCAAATCTGCCCTGGCCGGTGTTGCTAATGGTTACAGCATCGGCCCTTGCACCATAAGGCCTGATTCCCAGTCAAGGGCATGTACCTGAGTTTTGGGTTCACTCCCCACCCCCAGTTGGGGCAACCAGGCAATGTGTCTCTTTCACACTGTTGTTTCTCTGTCTCTCCTCCTCTCTCCCTCCCTTCCACTCTCTCTGAAAAGCAATGGAAAGAATATCTTCAGGTGAAGATTAACAAAAATAAAACTGCAAATCTGAGTTGTAACCCTGGCCTCAGACCCAAAATGTCTCTCTGTTGCAGACATCCTAATGCATTTGGCCAGCTCCCCTCTCTCATGCTCAGAAGCAACACTTTGGATTACAAAGGACAATACAGCTATGTTATAAACAACATGCTTTTATGGTTCAAGGTGATGGAATGAAAGCCAGCGGAAGCACTGCTGTGCTTAATGTTTTTTCCTCCATTTCCTCCCACGATTCCTGTTGCATACCTCTTTTTTCAATAAATCTGAATGTTGCATAGTGCTGTGAACATGCCGTTTCCCTGCCTCCCTGTCTTTGTTCCTATTTCCCCTTACCCTGCAATGCACTTTCTCCATCTCTGCCTGTGAAAATGCAATTTATGCTGCTTCTTCTTACATCATACCTTCTCTACAAAAGGGCCTCCCAACTCTCCTTATATTGTTTCCTACAGCACTTTTATTTGCAACTCTAGGACAGAATGTCATAAATTTTTTGTGCCACAGTCAGTATGCTTACCTCATGGCCCCTAGATTATAAGAAACTTGAAGAAAAGGAGCTATACTTTGCTTAACTTTGTTACTCCCATTGTGCTTAGTACCATACTCACTGGCTGCTTAATCAATATTCATTATAGTTAATATTAGAGGCCCGGTGCACAACATTTGTGCACTGGGGGTGGGGGGTGGGGTCCCTCAACCCAGTCTGCACCCTTACACAGTCCAGGAGCCCTCACCGACGACATCCCTAGCGCTACCGCGGAGGCGGCCCGCTGCACTCGCCAGCCATCAGCCCAGCTTGTGGCTGAGCAGCACTACCCCTGTGGGAGCACACTGATCACGAGGGGGCAGCTCCTGCATTGAGTGTCTGCCCCCTGGTGGTCAGTGTGCACCATAGTGACTGGTCATTCTGCCATTTGGTCAATTTGCATATTACCCTTTTATTATATAGGATATGCAGCCTATGAGTTAAAAGAAAAAAGTGCAAGATAAAATTTGTTGTTTATGAAACTTCAGTTCACACACCAGTCTTTGGACAGTTTGGTCAGTAAATAGATTTGAGGAGAGTATATTACTAATCACATATGTAAGAATGAAAAAAAAATTGTAGTCTCATCTACACAAAAACTGATCGTCTTTCTAGGAAATAGCTGTGATGTTACTTGCTGCTTTTGTGTTCTTTCTCAGATCCCACATTTTAAACTCTGATTACATTCAGGGATGGGGAACCTTTTTTTTTTTTTTTTTTTGCCAAGGGCCATTTGGATATTTGCCGGGAGCCGGTCCATCCTTGCTGTTTCAAGGGACCTGGCATATATGGCATACTGTTCCTAATATATTTGCTCACCTTCTTGGCACTATGACCTGCTGGGGTTGGACCCCGGCATCTGGTGCCCGAACAGGGACCCTTAGGTACGCCCCCCATTCCCCTAGACAAGCGCCCCGCACTCGGGACGGATAGGACTCCACCGTAGGAAGAGGGTGGATAGTCTTCACCAACTTCATCCACACCTTTGGGAACCCCTGGAACAGGATTCCCCTAGATAAGCCCCCCCCTCCTGAGAACCCCCAC